AATGTTTGTTAGATAAAGGATCGTGTCTTAAATAGAAACCGAAGAAGCTGCAGAGTTAGAATCTGAATGCGGAACTTCTGACCACTGGCTCAGTGCTCTGCCACAAAATGCTGCCTTTGCCCAGAGATTTCCTGTCAGCTGCTCTCAAAGGTCATATTGATAAACACCACTCACACAAACAGGCACAGATGATGCCACCACTTCCTATTCTATTCATCATATGTTTCCTGAGCAGCTACTCCTTGCTGGGCATTCATTGTGAGCTACATTCACTTCTGAAGCAGCCAAAAGGAGGAGAATAGGAGAGGAGATGGACAAACCCCTGCGTTCCTCTTTGCCTTCTCACCTCTAACTCTGGAAGAGTTGCTATGTCTGCTGCATGAGCCACACCCAATACATCTGGATCCAGTGAAAGTCACTCTAGACTGACACCTGGTGAGTGTCAAAAAAACATGCCCAAGGCTCACTGCTCTTAGCACTGGGCGGATTACTAAAAGGATTGGGTCAGATCAAGAGGCAAAGTTCTGCATATGGAATGGAGCCAACGCCCAGATCCAAACCCTTGCTTCCCAGCCACACTGCAAAACTCTGCCTAGCCATGCTCCTCCCTGAGTGCTTTCTTCTTCCCAGCATGGCGTATCAATCAAATAGACAAGGCTGAAGTTGTGCCAACTAGGTGAGTTCCCTCCCCTAGCCACACACATGTTTGCTTTCCTGCATCTCAGCCACCTTGCTGCTCAGCCCAGCATCCCAGCTTGCAGTGGACACAGGACTTGGGGTCCCAGGGAGGACTCCCTTGTCTACCAGTGGTTTTCATAAGATGGAGCCATATGTCTAGGATCTCAGCAGCGCTCTGACTGCTGTGGATGCGGAGGGGGAGCAAGTAGAGCCTTGCAGCTTATAGAAAACCTTTGAGAACAACGGCTATTGGCATGGAGAAAACCATCTGTTATTTTTGTCTCCTATTTGTCTTAGAATTTCAGGGAAAGTGAGCAGTTGGGCTGCTCAACTTTATTGTTCACAGTTGGGAGCAGAAGAGTTGAAATGAGGCACCCAGTTTCCAAAGCTACAATGCAAAATTATCTCCTCTTGGCTTTATTTATTTTGTATTTTGTATTTTTTTTTGAGACAAAGTCTTCCTCTATTGGTCAGGCTGGAGTGCAGTGGCATGATGACAGCTCGCTCTAGCTTTGAACTCCTGGACTCAAGTGATCCTCCTGCCTCAGCCTCCCAAGTAGCTAGGACTACAGACATGCACCACCACACCCAGCTAATTTCTTTTATTTTTGTAGAGTGAGGGTCTCACTATGTTGCCCAGGCTGGCCTCGAACTCCTGGCCTCCAGTGAGCCTCTCACCTTGGCCTTCCAAAACACTGGGATTACAGGCATAAGTCACCACACCCAGCCTCTCCTTGGCTCTTTAATCCACCATGGGTTTCCTCTGTCCTCCAGGACTAAGGGTGCAGCTGTGAGTTGTGGCCTAATGAGGAATCTCAGGGGTCCCCAGAAGGATCTCAAAAGTTGCTCGGAAAAGGCCTCACTCTCAAATTTTCTTGCCAGATTGAGGTGGAAGGCAAGGATCTGAGAGTGGGGAGGAGAAATGAACACAAAGACAAGCTCTTCCAGCTGCAGAATGAACAGGCCAGCCTCCTCTGGCTAAAAATGACAGCAGAGATGCACTGACCTGGCATGTATGGCCTCTACCATCCTTGTTTCCTGCCTTGAGCTCCTGGGATTTGCCCCACCCACAACCTCGCCTGGATCACCCCACGGTATGTTTATGTTTAGTGCAGGTGACCAACCATCCCTGCTTGCCCAGGACTGAGAGATCTTGGCCTGAGGGACTTTCTGTTTTAAAACTAGAAAAATCCCAATTAAACTGGAACAAGTTAGTTGCCCTGGGTGGTGGTGTTAACTGATTGCATCTCTAAGAGTGGCTGCCTGTTTTAACGACCAAGGAGTCGCAAAGTCTCCCTGGCACCTTTTGGGTCATCTCAAGCCTTTGACTTCAAGGGTGAAGGCTGGGTATCAGGCAGATGAAGGTGAAGCAACTGAAGACAGTGGGCCTGTACCCACAGCACTGAGGTGCATCTGCACCTAGACCCAGCCCATCTCCCCAATTCCCAGACCTAACTCCATGCTCCCTGCAGCCATGCAACAGCCACCCACACTGCACAACACTGCCCAGCCAGTGCCATCTCCCAGAGCTGTCTTCTCCCTGGCCCTCAGTATCCATGGTACAGAAAAAATAAGACTGAGGATGTGGCAGCTGGGGTTGGTTACCACCAGCCTCATTAATGGAACCTTGATTTTCTTTGGATATTGGGTAACTGAAGTGTCCAGGCCCAGGAGCAGAGTTGTGGCAATTGCTCTCCTCTTTTCATAATTGGTTTAGGGTGGGCAAGCAACCCAGATATGGCCAAAGAAATGTCGATGTCAGTGGAAATATGATGGGGCCAAACTCATCCGTTTATGAGGAGCCTACTCCTGAGATAACTAACCAAGCTCCTGTGATAATAGCGTTAATCTGTTACCACATAAAGGCCCCACCTCCCAACACTGTTACATTTGGTATTAAATTTCAACATGAGAGGCCGGGCACGGTGGCTCATGCCTGCAATCCCACTTTGGGAGGCCAAGGTGGGTGGATCACTTGAGGTCAGGAGTTGAGACCAGCCTGGCCAACATGGCAAAACCCTGTCTCTACTAAAAATACAAAAATTAGCCCGGTGTGGTGGTGGGCGCCTGTAATCCCAGCTAACTGGGAAGCTGAGGCAGGAGAATCGCTTGAACCTGGTAGGCAGAGGCTGCAGTGAGCTAAGAACGTGCCAGTGCACTCCATCCTGGGTGACAGAGAGAGACTCCCTCTCAAAAAACAAAACCAAAAACAAAAATAAAATCTTCAACATGGGTTTTGGAAGGGACATTGAAACCACAGCAGTACTTACCTTCAAAGGGCCAACCATAGTGCCTGGACTATATTATATTCTTGATAACACTAAGCTCTTATATTAGTAATAATATTCATATTGTTAGTATTACAATTATTAATACTTCAGCTAAATCCTCCAAAGAAACTGCCTAAAGGCTGGGCACAGTGGCTCACGCCTGTAATGCTAGTACTTTGGGAGGCCAAGGTGGGAGGATCACTTGAGGTCAGGAGCTTGAGACCAGCCTGGCCAACATAGTGAAACCCCATCTCTACTAAAAATAGAAAAATTAGCCAGTCGTGGTGGTGCGCACCTGTAATCCCAGCTACTCGGGAGGCTGAGGCAGGAGAATCAGTTGAAAGCCGGGATGCAGTGAACTGATATTATACCATTGCACTCCAGCTTGGGCAATAGAGTAAGACTCTCTTCAAAAAAAAAAAAAAAAAAAAAAAACAGCAGCTGGGCTCAGTGGCTCATTCCTGTAATCCCAGTACTTTGGGAGCCCGAGGTGGGTGATCACCTGAGGTCAGGAGTTTGAGACCAGCCTGACCAATATGGTGAAACTCCAACTCTACTAAAAATACAAAAATTAGCTGGGCATGGTGGCATGCGCCTGTAGTCCCGGCTACTCGGGAGGTTGAGACAGGAGAATTGCTTGAACCTGGGAGGTGAAGCTTGCAGTGAGCCAAGATCACGCCATTGCACTCCAGCGCTCCAGGCTGGGTGACAGAGACAGACTCCATCTCAAACAAACAAACAAACAACAACAACAACAACATCAAAAAAAACTGCCTAAAGTTAGAGTAGGGATGCAACCCTTCGTGGTAGATGGCTATTGGATGGGTATTACAATTAACCACGGGTCACAGGGTCCTTTTGGGAAGTGCAGCTTAGAAGTTCCAGATGTTCAAATCTTATCTGGGGAGATTCTATGACAGAAGAAAGAGGGAGGATGAGACTGCCACAGAAGATCAGATGATATGGAATCTGCTGTAAGCTCAGAGCTGGAAAGACAGACCTGACTCTGTCCAGGGACTGCCTCTCATCTCCAGGCACCTCACTTCTGCTGTTTAGAGGAGAATCCCTGCTGCATGGCAGCATTTGGGCCGCCAGAGAGAAGATATGTGAATTGATGAAATAGAAGACTAATTGGAAATAAAAGGTATAGTGTCAGCTAATGAACTCCCAAATCACCCATGTGATAGCCTCAGCCTTCCAGAACACGTCCATGAACAGCCTAAAGTGGTTCCAAAACTGGGGAGCAGAGAGGGGCGCAGCAGGAGGCAAATGAGCACAACTGACCTGGACTTAAACCATGGCCCTGCCACTTACTGGGGTGCAGACCTTGGGTACTGGACTTGCCTTCCTGTGGCCAGTCTCCCAGTGTGAACCATGCAAAATCAACATTCACCTCCAATGAGTGCCTATGGAAGTAAGTGGGATGGTATGTCTGTATTGCCTGATAAATGGCCAGGCATTGTGACAACAATTCCTGCTCCACGGATCAAACACAGAAATCAGTTTCCCCACTTCCTAGTCCCATCTCAGAGGTGTTGCATTATCGGTCACTAAAGCTCAGCGAGTTCCACCCACACAGTCCTAATAAGCTCTGTCATTCTGATTGGCCAGTCTGCAGGAAAGGAAGTAGAGGTAGAAAGACACAGCAAAGAAAAGTGAGATGTGACAGTCTAACAGTGAAGGGAGACAGAAAGACCATACAGGCAAGGGTTAGAATACTAAAAACAGAGCAATCTGGGGTAGTGTTAGTGCACGGGCAAGCAGTCTGAACCCTCTGGGGAGATCATGAGTTACATGACATGGTATCAGTTGACCACACATTAAGTCTCAAATTATGAGAGCCTTGAATCATTCAAAAAAAAAAAAAGGTGAATCTGTTCAGCACAATCAGTTTAAGAATATACTGTACAAAAAAAAAAAGTATACATTGAGCAATAGTACCATTACAAACAGGAAAACAGTTCAAGTGAAAGTTACAGGGGCCTGACTTAGTAGTGGGGTGCCTCCTTCCTTGAGAGTGCTGGATAAATGGAATTTCACCAAAAAAACATATTGAAGTCTTTTTGCCTCTCAGCAAGGTGTTATTTAGGTAGAAGGGAAGCAATGGAAATGAGAAAAGGAAAGCAAGCGGGTAGGGACTTGGGGTTTGTCCTTCCATTTAAAAAAAAAAAATCATCTACTTGGTGCTTGGCTAGTGCTACCCACAAGGCTCAGTCAGCCTGGCTCTTCTTAGTGGTACGCAGGGCGTCGCGGCCCCTGTCCAGCAGCAGGTCCTCCAGCCGCTTGCAATGCTCCCGGAGCTGTTTCTCCCGCGGCAGCAGGAAAGTGAGAACCTTGTTGCGCACGATGCCACGGTCCTCCTCCTCCCTTAGCCGCTGCCTCACACGAGCCGCCTGCTCCTCCTGCTGCACCAGGGCACCATTCATCTCGCAGAAGGAGTCCTCAAGGTAATGGATGGACTTCAATGTCTCTTTCTTAAAGTCTTCCAGCTCCCGTTGCACCCCAGCCACCTTCTGCTGCAGGATCTCCAAGTCGGCAGGTGGCGGGAGGCAGGAGGGCCATGACTGGGACAGGGAAAAGTCTCCAGACTGGAGGCCACTCTCTACCATTTTCTTCCCCTGTAAAGTATTCACCGTCATGAGAATGGACCCAGCCTGGTAGAGGGATTCCATTGTCTCTCTTCTACGTTGGACAAAGAGAGGAAGCCAAGAGACCAGCCAGGTCAATAAATATTTTTGGCTAGAGACACGATCATTCGGAGTGGAGAAACCCTAGAATTGTGACATCAGGGCCCCTTCAACCAACCAGAAAGAAAGCCACAATCCATTCATTTGCATATTGTAGCTTCCTTGCTTGGTTACCTAGAGCTTTGTCTGTTTATCTGACCAAGTTGCCTTCCTGAGATATGGATCCTTAACTCATCACCCTTCCAGAACCAGAACTCAGGTTCTTCTTTAACCTGAGGAACAAACCAAGTCCCAGAGCAGGGAAGTACATTGGCCAGAGCAAGGCAAGCCAGGCCAGGCTCACTGGCTGCCAGGACTGGGTAGTCTCCCACACTGGCAAGGGACCTGCATGGTCTTGGACTGGTCTCTGGGCTTTAGTACCTTACTAGTAAAACAAAGACATTGTAAGAAATGATACCTAATCCCACTTGTAGCTCTAAAATGCTAAAAAAGTAATCTCTTATTCCAAATCCATACTCCTATAATGATGCCAGAATTCCAGATAATCTTAGAAATTGTGAGAAATGTACTTAGATTTTGATGTGTGGTCCACAGCAATGGCTGATTCAGTAGATGCAGGGTAAAAATGAGTTAGTCATATTTATCCAATAAATACTAAGTGCTCACTACACACTAGGATCAGGGAGCAAGTGAGTGCATGGTCCTCCAACATACCTGAATGTTGACAAATATGAGAAAAAACACGTAGAAAGGTAATTCTTGTACTTTTTACCTGATAATTAGAACAAAGGAAAATACTTCAGCTAATCTACATTTGGTTTTGGTTTAGTCAGGAACAAACCTTCATCTTGCACATCTCAGTCTCTTGCTTAGACCTTTCTCCTGGGCTCCAAATCTAAATGTCTCCCCAACAATGGGCCTCCAATTCAAACCATCCAAAACTGAATCGGTGATCTCTTCACCCAAATCAGTTCCTGTTCCAGTGTTGCTGTCAGATTAATGACAGCAACCCAGAACAGCACCCACACCAGAGCCCACATAAGACAACTGGTGCTGTGATGCTAAAATTTGTCCCCTCCCAAACTCATGTTGCAATTTAATTGCCATTGTAACAGGATTACGAGGAAGGACCTTTAAGAGATGATTAGGCTACCCTTTAAGAGATAAATGGATTAATGCTGTTATCTTGGGAGCAGGTTTCTTATAAGTGGATAAGTTCAGCCCCTTTATGTCTCTCTCTCACCCTCTCTTTGCCCTTCTACCATGTGGTGTCTTCTGCTGTGGAATGACACAGCAAGAAGGCCCTTGCCAGATGCCAGCATTTTGATTTCAGACTTCCTAGCCTCCAGAACTGTAAGGAAATACATTTCTGTTCTTTATAAATTACCCAGCCTCCAATATTTTACTATAGCAGCACACAATAGACTAAGAAACCTAGGCTCAACCTAGACCCTTCCATGTCAAAGTGGCCCTAAGTCCTATTCAATCTACTATTGCCAAGCACTCTAGCATCAAACCACCTGGGTTGGAGTCCCAGCTCCACTTATAAGTTACCTATCTTTGGCAGATTACCCCATCTCCCTGAGCCTCAATCTTCTTATCTATAAAGTAGGAATACTAATTTAGTGGTGTGCAGTTCTATGGGGAAAAGTGAATAAAACTCTGATATCTATTAATAGCTGTTGCCAATTTCCATGGCGTAAATACTCCCACCATGGCCAATTTCAAGCTACCAACATGATGTCACTGGGAAGAGATGCACAAAATCAGCTCTCATGAGCCTCTGCAAGCTGACTCTTGCACCACAGGGCCTGTGATGAGGGCAGCTGCCTCCTCTGAGATGCACATTAACCTATCCAGGGAGCCTTGCAGTAGGCATCAGAGAGGGCATTTTGCAGGGAGGTTCAAGGCTAAACTAAGGTGAAATTTTCTGGGGGATTTTGTGGGGCTTTTTTAGCATAATAAAGTATCAAGCAATAAGGTGAAATTTTAAATGGCAAGATGAAAAAAGCAACTTCGATTATTGAGACAGAATGGTGGAAAGAGCATTTTTCTAGGAGTCAGGAGATCTGGAGACTGGAATTGCTGTGTGACCCTAGGTCAATCACCTTCCCTCTCGGAACCTATTCCTTCCACCATAATGTGAGAAGGCAGGATTTGGCTGTTCTGACGTCTCTGATGTTTGAAGAATCCACATAGTCCTTCAGTTAAACCTCTCTTGAGGCACTTACAATCTTCTCCCTCTTTTTGTGACTTAGGACTTTGTCCATCCAGGTCCCTGATGGCACAGTAAACTCCATGAGGCCAGGGATCATGAGTTTCTTACCCTGTGTACCCTCAAGCATCCTGCCTGGTGCCCTGCATATACTGGCACTCAGAGAACTAGATGAAATAAAACTTATTTTCACAGGTGGCTGTCAAATCCCGGGCACCCCTGGCTTTCCCGCTGACATGATGACACCTACTGGTCTTAGCAAAAACAGCAACCTCTTGATTCCACTACCTAAGAGAGCTAGATGGGGATTGAGGAGCTGATAAAAACAGCATGTGATCTTCTGGTGTATTTAATTAAGGGAGTATGTGCATGTTGGGCACATAATAGATTCTCAATAAATATTTTTTGAATCAGCAAAAGGGCAGTCTCTATCATTCTCTGAGTGCTTTTCTGTTTCTCTCTCTCTCTCTCTTTTATTTTCTGCCACTTTTTCTCTGCCTCCCACGGGGAATGGTGGAAGTCGTAACCAGATCTGTGAAAGAAAAGTAGTAAAAGGCGTGTGGAATAGCATTTTCTCCACTTGCCTGGTGTTTATTTTTAAATGACATTGCAGTTTGCTTCTCAGAACCAGAGGGGAGGACGGTATTTCCACAAGAGCACAGCAGAAGCTAGAAGTGAGTGAGTGCTGTCAGGAGAAGACCCCAGGCTTGGTGGCCTCCCGAGCCTTCAGGGCAGCATCCTCAACAGGGCAACTTGATATACACATTCTCCTGAACGTTCTCCTCCTAGAAATTTCATAGTCAAGGACTATGCCTTTCTCACAAAATTTCCTTCCATATAAACTAGGAAACTAAGAAGCCAATCACTTTGTTCCCTTAAAGTTCTCAAGGAAAAGGAGTTCTAACATCTCCGGGCCTTGAACCCACTGTCAGATGAGTTTCTCTGTCCCTGGCCTATTTCAGTGGTTACAGCCTCCTCATGTCTCAGGATGATGGGGGGACAAGCGGGGCACCTCAGCCCCGCAGAGATCCCAGTCCCGCCCTTGAGAATCAGATTAAACCTGAATGGGATGGGACTCAATAGTGGGCATGTTCTAATAGTTCCCCAGGTTGGGCATCACTGGGTCTGAGCACCATTCCTGTGGGACCCTGCCCATGGCTTGCCAGTGAGAGCCGGATGGTTTCCCCAGGACCCCACCCCATCATATGCCTTCATCTGTCTCTGCAAATGAAATAAGCCTTGGTCCTTTTGGGGACTGGGAAAAAGGACATGACATAGAGGCCCTCCTTCTTCGTGTACCTTTTTTAAAGGGAGGAAAATGCTCAGAAGCTAGAAGCTCCTCACATCCCATGAGTTAGAGCCACATTCCTGGGCCCCTTCTAACTGCATCACTGACTAGAGGCGTGGGGCTCCCACAGTTGGCTGAGGCCAATCACAGGCCCCTTCCTGGGACTGGGGCTGGGTCAGGCCTCCCTGAAACACAAGCCTCCCATACCAGAACCAAATTGGGGTTCTGTTCTCAAGCAAGAAAGGCAGAGGAAGAGGATGGGCAACCAACTGTGTCTTCCACCAAGAGTAATTAGACCTAAAAAGACTCGGTGAAAGAACCATGCAAAATCCTCTGAAATGAACTACTAATGGGAGCTTCCAGGCAGAGTGGGAAGCAGTCTTCTGGGAGTCTCTTAAAACTGGTTTATCTAGGCCAGGCGCGGTGGCTCACGCCTGTAATCCCAGCACTTTGAGCGGCGAAGGTGGGCAGATCACGAGGTCAGGAGATCAAGACCATGCTGGCTAACACGGTGAAACCCCGCCTCTACTAAAAATACAAAAAATTAGCCAGGCGTGGTGGCGCACCTGTAGTCCCAGCTACTCGGGCAGCTGAGGTAGGAGAATGGCACGAACCTGGGAGGTGGAGCTTGCAGTGAGCCGAGGTTGCGCCACTGCGCTCCAGCCTGGACGAGAGAGTGAGACTCCATCTCAAAAAACAAAACAAAACAAAACAAAAAAACACTGGTCTATCTCTCCCCATCCCCAAGGGAAAAAAAAATCATTAAAAAAAAAACACACACACACAAAAAAAACGGAACTCAGAACTCAGAGCAATCTGTCCAAACCCCAAAGAACATGTGATTGGATATTTATAAATGAGAGAGGACAGCTGTTGGCCCTATTTAGCCACTCTTTTCCCAGAATCCCTTGACCTGGTGCCTCCTATGGCCTGGGCAAGGATACTGCGATACAATCAGTGTCTTCTCAGATGCCCCCATAAAAATGTCTTCCATTCATCCTTCCATTCATTCATCCATCCATCCATTATTCCATTCATCCACCCATCTATCCAGCTATCCAGCCAGTCTTTCATCTATCCTTCCATTCATCCATCCATCCATCTATTATTCCATTCATCCACCCATCTATCCAGCTATCCAGCCAGGCTTCCATCCATCTATCCATCCAGCCAGGCTTCCACCTGTCCATTCATTCATCCATCCAACCATCCATCCACTCATTCAATGATAATCATTGAGTACCTACCCTGTGTAGACAGAGCCACGCAACTGAAATTCAAGAGAACAAACAAGACAGAAAAAACTCCTGCTCTCAAGCAGGCAGCATTTTGATGGAAGGAGACCAGTAAAGTAAGCAATCAACAAATAAGATGATTTGGGTTGGTGCTAAATCTCTGAAGGAAATAAGCAGTGGAAGGTGATAGCCTGTCGGGTGGGGGTGGGCTCAGGGAGTGCCTTTGTCGGGGTTAGGGAGTGGGCAGCATTTGGGGCAAGACAGGAAGGAGGAGGAGACCTGGGGATAATATTCAGGAAGGAAGTGCAAGTGGAAAGGCCTGGGGCAGGAAGAGGCTCGAAGAGCCCA